CTGAACGAGCGCTTTGCAAGTCAAGGTAATCTTCACGCTAACAATTGAAATTTAAATGTCGTAATATTATCCGCTATTTTCTCTCCTATTTCAATAGACCAACGATGAAAAAGTGAATAACTATTTCATACGTTTTTATATGACGAAACCAAAACAGAAGTTTTGACACATGCCCCGCCACGGTGGTACAGTGGCTGAGACACTTGGCTGATGACCCGCAGGTCGCGGGATCGAATCCCGGCTGTGGCGGCTGCATTTCCGATGGAGGTGGAAATGGCGTAGGCCCGCCCGCAACTAGCTACTTGCTTTTAATGAGGTATGCATGGGTGAGGGAATGCAAACATACAAACACGCACAACACCAAACTTACGATCAAAACCCGGGGTGGCATTGGCCACCGTCTGCCCGATGCCCCCGGCGAAGATGCAAAGATGCACCCCGGCCTCTGCTTGCACCGCACAAAGCTCTCCCATAAAAAGTTACGGCGCAGCTTCATGACCAGTAAAAGTATTGAATGACTGGCGATACTGTAAAGAGTTGAAATTTACGTTAGGAGTGCAGTTAGGATTACATGAGATGCTTACTTCAAGCACACGCAAGCGAGAATGGCACGAACTTGTGCGAGGAAACGGGGCTAGTTGAAGAGGAAGTAAAAGAATGTGGCAAGCTTCTGGGAGGTTCTGGGTTCTATTTCCGGTGCCACAGTTTTACGAATGCACAGAGACGGTGCTATTAGGCTTGTGTCATGAGTATACATTTATCTTGATAGGGTTGATTCTTCTTTTCTGTAACTTCTGTCCCTCCCATTTTATTGTTTTTTTTTTACCAGCAACTCCTCAGAGCCGTGCTCCCTTAGACTGCAGAAACATGTGTGTTTGCTATGCTAAACTACTACTACACGAACTTATACACTAATGAGAGCCAGCACGAGATGACTGTCCGTCATAAAAACTAGTGCAAGGCTGCCACAGGCCCCAGGAATCATGTTCTGCGCCTCCTGAACTCAAAGAGGACCCTTTGACATTTGGCATGCTGTGATTAGGTGAATGCAGAGGAGGAAGGTAAGCATCCAGTTCAAGTTAGAATAGAATAGAGTAGAGCCTTGTATTTATAACAGACACATGCGGGAGGGATGGGCCAAGAACCAGGATAGTTCTAAAATAAAGTCTTAAATTTTGTTAGATTATGTCTGTTGAAATGCTGACAGTGATGAAAGAAAAAAAAATACTAAGAATTATTGAATAGGAACTACGGATATATAAAATGGAGGGGATATTTTGAAGTAAAAGTAAAGCGATTTGGAAAACCAGGAATTTAGGAATAATGATTGATTCTACAGTCAGAATCTCTCTGAACTTTTTATAAAACTGCTGCAAGGCATCACAGATGAAAGTTCCTCTCCTCTTTTTCATTGGCTGTAGGAGGAGCACTTACTATGAATGAAGTAGATGGTGCAAGCGCTTTTTGTAGCTCGTAAGTAAAAACAGTTGCCATTGAAGGGAACTGAGCAAGGCATTGGTTCGGGCTAATTGGTAATCCTTAGCTACAAGCTTGATAGCACGAAACTTTTTGCACGAAAGACAAAAAGACATGGCAGGCACAAGCACTTGCTTCCAAGTAACTTTTAACTTTTCTTTTATCTCAAGTAAAATGCGGTTTTTTGATGGTTGCTGGAGAAAGTGCCATGTAATGCACGCGTGTTGCTTTGATCAGGTGATTCAATGCCCCTTTTCTTCTTTCGCTGCATTGATATTTCCAAGCTCTAATATTAAAAGTTATTTGAAAGTAAACCTGTGTGCCTGTCATGTCTCTTTGTCTATTATACAAGAAGTTCTATGCTATAAAGCTTGAAGAGGTGACAGTTTAAAACAGTTGAACAATAAATGGATTTGAGCCATTTTGTGGTTGGGATGTTTACCTATCATGGGCCTTCACAGAACAAGTGGTGTAGGTCGAATTTGATCATCAAAGTTCCCCAGGTGCACATTGGCTTCTGTGTAGAGTTCTGCTTATTACACGTAAAAAATAAGCAGCCCAATAGGCTACCTAGGAGAAGGGCTTGCCATACTTCCTCAGGACAGTCTTCACAACCGATGATGCAACCTGACCCTACCGTAATTGTGCCAGTGCCTGGTGCACCACTTGTGGTTGTTCTACCTAAGGCGTCCTCCATTTCGGTGACACTGAAAGGCTGCGTTTAAGCATTATCCCTGACACAGATTGCATTTCTAGCAATGTTTGTCTCAGAAAGGCAAATTCTGCTACTTTTTTTTTTTAGACTTCTGCTCTGCTTATGCCTTCCTTCAGCACAACATGTCTTGCACCACCAGATGTCCTGCATCAGCCCAAAAGGAATCTTAGCATACCCGACGCTTTGCTTGAAGGTGTTGATCCATTAATCTGTTCCCAAATTTGCACCCGCTGCTTGGAGGTTAGCTCCCCAGAACACTTCTATTTTTTTTTTTTTTCATGATGAATGCAGTTACCCATGTAGTCACCGCTCCTTGTGGACGAAAATTCGAGCAATAGATACAAATGAAAATATGAGCTCTGCAATTTCACTTTCCTAGCGGCACAATTTACGTCTCCACCGAGAATCGAATGCAGACTAGCGATTGGGAAGGCGATAGTGTCCATGCATGCTGACATTGCATTTGACTTTTAACCACAAAAATTAGGGGCTCTAACTTTCTAGCTTATTTACTACTAGCATTTCCACTAAGGCTGTTTTCTATTTGCTGATTGCGATATTTATTCCTATGCACAGTCATGCATTCTCCCCTATTAGATGTGCTGTGGCGTGAGATACATTTTGTTTTGTACGCATGTAATGGCAATATAAAAATCGCCACATCCCAGAAGGTCCACACAAAGTTTTCAGTAACAGGGTCTAGGCTTTGAGGATATTGCTAAGTCAGGTGTAATGTGCTTTTGCTGTCCTATTCTCTCACAGAAAGTACAGCATGCGGTTCGAGGATGTTAGGTCTTTTCACAGGAATAAGCAGCAGCGTTGGTACGTGCCTGTCTTCAAGTGTATCGTCCTTGATGCGACTCATCATGGATGAGTCGGAGTTACAAGGCACACTGACTAAAGTTCCTGAAAAATTACGATTAGCACAATCCATGCTAACCACCATATCAAAACCAACTGAACACATATAGTATAACAGCTCACTCGTGTTCTTGAAAGAAATCAGCTCCTCAGGACAATACATCGCAACAGGTGCCATAGATGTCATTGATGTAATATCTCAAGCAGAACATTAGCAGCAGAGCTGTCCATTCGCAGTACCTAACCCCTTGGATTCCACTCTTTCATTCAAGTGCCAACATTCGCGGGAAGCATGTACACACCGGAATGCTTGCAGGGTCTTTGCCACAACGAAGAGCCTCATCGGGCCCTACAGTCTACTTTACAGTCAACAAGACTACCTGCCCATTCTGCCCAGGTAGCCGGGTGACCTATATAGAGTGCTTGTTCACTCCCCCCCTCCACCCCGTTGTATATAAGGCTTGTGAAATGGCTGCCGCAGAGTTTAAGTTAACCTGCAGAGACAGCATGAGCCCCTCTTAACAAACAGAGAAGGGACGGCCAGGCACCTCTGAGCATGTCTTCCAGACATTTTCATGGTCCCTTGAGGGTTCTGAACACGGCAAATTATTGCCCAAGGTAGCATGCTGCCTAACAGCTAGGAGTTCGAGCCTCATACCCCACAACTTTTAAGAACCCCTCAACAGCTTGTCGCGGTGGGGTTCTGATAATGCTTTCCACATTGTAAAAATTTTTTAGAAATGATTCGAAGGGTAAAATAAGGCACATCGTTTTTGTTTTGCAGGGTAATAGTTGGAAAACATGAATAAAATTTGTGGTAAAAGTTCATTATAGAAAACTTTTCAGTGCATGTTGAAACTTCAAATGCCATTTTCTCAGCTTCACACTTTATGCCAACCTGACCAGTCTTACGGAACTTTAATTCCATGTTTTAAGCTCCACACTCTGGTGGCCTAGAAATGTCAGACTGACGTTTACAGCCCCTGCATCATTCAGGGAGACCTCAAACACTTCCTCTGAGACTGCCCGCAGTACTCAGACCTGCCTCAAACGCACTGAATGTCGAGCATCTTTTTTTCCGGGATCGCATAGAGCACATATCCTAGCTAAATGAGTGCAGCATCGCCCCAGCCACACGCGTGCTGACCGCGTAGCCTAGGCGCGCATAAGCGCCGGAATTCACCAAGATGACTGCCAGGGCGTCTCTTGGTCTGGGCGAGTCAAGCTTCGGCCCCGTCTTGAGCTCGCCTGTCTGGGCATGCTACGCTAGCACGCTGCGCGGGCCTACGTCACAACGCAGCGTCATTTTCCTTTGGGCCACGCGTGACATCCTCCTTTCCTACGAGCTATGTTGTGCCCGAGGATTCGCTCGTTGCAGCAGATGCTCTCAGGCCTTCACGAGGGGTTGATGTGCTGCTCAGCAGGCAGCTTCTCGTTCATGCGTTCGACTTCGGCCCTTGTGCGCGAGTCGTCACGCCGTAGGCAAGCATACTTGCTCGGTCTAGCAAAGTTCCCTACACGGCCTGCAAGCCCGTGAGTGTCGCACTGTGCTGCATCTTGGGTTAATAAACCCGTTGTTGTTGTTATTCTGCCTCGTGCGTGGTTTCTACGCCGTGTCGGAGAAAACGACGAACCCGGCCACAGCGTCATCGCACGCAGCGTCACTGGAAGACGTCGCATCCCTACACGGTTGCGCTTAGTAGGTAAGCCTAGTGCAAACCTATCTCCACAAACTACCGCAGTGCCCAACTGGCTCTGGTGGTAATCTCATAACAGCTTTCACTGTAAAACAACTTCAGCATTGGCGTTTAGTAGAATGAGGCCAAAACGAATCTCAAAGGTGTCAGCTGTTATCCTAAAATAGTATTCCTATTTGTTACTGTAGCATTCACTCCTTTGCTCTTGCAGCAAACACTGACTTTATGTTACGGCAAATGCAGAGAAATACCTGAAGACACAGCTTGGGGCTCTGTTTGTGTGGCACTTGTTGACAGAATTTTCTCTTCATTTGCTTGTGATGCTTCGTGGTGTGTTAGCAGTCCGACTTGAACAGACTTATCTATGACTTGATGCTGCTCACACACTAGCTGAGGTGGTGTCTCTAGTGCTTGTCCAGACTCATAAGCCAGACTCTGTCCTGCTTTGTACACTGGCTCTGCAGCAATGTCATCCTGAAATAAATCGGCTTCTGTTGTTACTAGTGATGACGCTAAATATTATTTCCCAGAGAAGTGAAAGCCCACTTACGTAATCTCTTTGACCAGAAACACTGGGTTTTGACGTTTGCTCAATGCTGTTGTCTCCAGCAAGCAGCTCTCTAATAACCTGCAACAGTATATATGAATAGATGGGTTACTGACACATGCAGAATAAAAGGAGTACTTAGGGCATGTATTCAAATGAATACTTTTGATATGTGTTTGAACCACTTATACTTTTGCATAATCGTCTAGTGTCCCGTTTTTCTAGCATTGATCTCAGCTTCATCTTTTTGTTATCAACATCAATGTTGTTATGACAAGTCAAACCTACTATACCCTTAATTATGCAGTTTGATTTTGGAAGTATGACAGAATAATATCAGATACCGAACGACATTTATGCGATTCTACAGTACTGAAGTTGAAGATGACCTAAATTCTGTAAATAAGCCTCCGCAGAGCTGTAAATTATTGAAATACTTGTAGTAAAAAGGAGGAAGAAGGCATCTGCTGCTCGGAGCTTTATCTGCATTTTCATTCAGCTGGCGCTACATCTACTCTGCGAGTCGTCAGCGGTACGTAATAAATCGCAAAACGACATCTAACAGAAGTATGGATTGCTTGTGTAGAGTATGATATCAATACGAAATCACACCTGCTGTGTTCGTCTCGTCGAGAATGCCGCCCTCGGAGCGTGCCCACCATTACTCGTGGACAAAGATAGATGGCACACGACATACAGGATGCAGACTTCACCGGCATTCCCATTATATAGAATGGCAATGAACCCTGATGGTGGTGCCAGTCGCAACAATGTTTTGAGCAGAGAACACTGGTTCAAGAAAGCTCAAATTCACTTTCTTTCACAGTAGCGATCAGCTCATTTATCTGTTTTCGTTTTCTTTGAAGCAAGTTGCAAAGCCCTACTTACATCGTCTCGGCCGTCGGTGCTCAAACAGCCGTGCGCAAAGCAAAAGGAAGGCATGACAAGACTACGAGACAAAGTTTCTGTCTGGCACATCGATTTTGAAGCGTAAATCATAAACGTAGGTTCTGGATGTTGATGATTTAGGACAAGAAAGGCGACTGACGCGCAAAACCTACACAAGGTGGCAGTGACGGTGCCCGGGATGCGTTTTTTTCACAGCGGCTCTGCTTCAATGTACAACAATAGAACAGCTATATTACTCTGCTAAGCGATTTTGGTAATTTTGGTGCGAATACGGACGTGCTGCCGTTCGGCCAAATTATTGCAGGAATCGTGTCCCCGAATCTGCAGACAAGAATTTTTTAAAAATGGGAGCGAAATTCTCAGTACAAAGACCCTGAATTTAGCGGAAAAAAAGAAGCACTCCGACTGCACACTTCAGTAAGTGTCTACATTGACGTTTCTTTGCGCCCTCTTTCTCTGGCTGCCTGGCAACTGTGAGAACTACCTCACTGACCGGCACGTCTGACTTCTTTTCGCTGGCGTCGCCGTCGGCTCCCGTGGGAGTGTGCTTCCTCTGCGGTTCATCACAGCACTGAGCCGACGCTACCACTTTTCCGGCAAGGAATCACACCTGTTTGCAATGCTGAAGAAAAGGACATCATGAAGGAGTCTGCCGATTCTCAAGACATTCTTCTGCTGTCAGATCCGGCCATAATGCGATTTCCTGTACTTCGACGATACCTGCTTTGACAGGGCATGTTGCAATAATCCATGTTTCACTGGCTCGCCGTCCCTGCTTTGTCATTGCCCGTACCCCTGCTTTGTCATTGATGTTATGTGGCACAGCATTCACATATGTTCCCACTTGGACAAGAGTCAAGCCAGACCTTACAAAACAGAATGACGACTCCTGCCCTGGTGATGCCTGCTCAGGTCGGTTCTGTTGCTATGGCTTATGCTGCACGTACTTGTTTTCCGACGGCACATTCTTCTACTGTTCCTGCTACAGCCATCATACCTACTACTGTGTATACTCATGCTGCGAGGCTATTAAGTGTGGGTGGTATTACAGAGATTGCTACTGGTTTTCGTGCCCCCAGAGGCACATTGACATGCCGTGCCAGCTTCAACTGTGTCTGTCGGTGTGCTACAAGTTCACTGCAGAGGCCAGAGAAAGAAGACTCCTCCCGGAAAGGTAGAGAAGTCACCTGACGTTTGTACTCCTTCTGCCTAGCCGGCACATCGTGAGTTAGTTCACTTCTGTCAAGTTGTGCAGAAATGGGGCCATTAAAGGCGCGTCAACGCTGTAGACTTGAAGTCTAAGTGACTGTGTGGACATCTTCTCTTTAGTGAGGGGATGATCATATGCTGTAATTCTTTAGATGCACATTATTCTTGCATTTGTGCGTATGCTCTGCATTTCTTTATTGTATAATGAAGATAGAAACCCCACAGGTCCATTTCATTAAAGGGAGGATGATGTGGTGTCGACCAGTTGGTTCTGGTATTGGTTCCGGTTCTCTAGCCCCCGAGGGCGCTGTATGATGCTTGTGTACACACTCACATGCCGTGCTAGCCTACACTGTGCCTTTTTGCGTGCTGCAAGTTCACTGCAGAGGCCAGAAAAGACTCCTACCGGAAAGTTTTTCTGGCTAGTAGGTTTGGCAGCGGATGGTCGTGACATCTGGCAGCGGGCCCTGGGCCGACTGCGCAGATGTCTTTTTGTATGCTTTGAGTTTGCTTTTATTAATTACTAAGGCAGTAGTATGAACCTTGATTGACTGTGAGATTGAGCAAAGTCGCCGCCTGGCGGCAACTAGCCGAAGAGGGGAAGTGTGGATTGCTCCGTGCGTCGTCTGCTAGCGACGCCGTGTTTCTGTGTGCGTGTACGTCATGCACGTTCTCAAAGTGTGGTTTGTACAGTCATGTCCACGCAAGTGTAACAGCTTTTATGTGTGCCTGAAACGACGTACGAAAGCATTTGGTCTTGCTCGGCTGCTAATGCATTGTAATAAGATCGGCGAGTGCAACTTCCTAAAGTGCTGTTTATTGACACGATAGCATTAGAGAGCTTGTGTCGCATAAATCCCGCCGTCGGCAGCGTTGGTTGTGAGGAAAAAATCGAGAAAGAAGAAAATAAAATAAAGAAGAAAATATTCGGTCCCATTGAGGATCAAACCTGGGTCATTTGCGTGGCAAGCAGGTGTTCTACCACAAAGCCCCGATGTTCCTTGCAACTGCTTTGGGCAAAAACACTACATAAATGCGATGTAGAGGAGTTTCCTTAACGCATTTTGTTCGGCAGCTGTAGCGATGAAAACTAGCCTATTCGGCGATTTGTAGGCGCATCTGGGAGGCTATAAAACTATGTCCAAAAAGGCCGGGATAATGCAGCCATCGCGGCTAAAACACACAGGAACTTTTAAACAGCTCTAGAAATGGACAACTATGTCCATCTAGCGGAAAACATGTCATGCCTTTCCAGACGCGTTGATCAAGCAAACAGCAAGTGCTAGATGATGTGCTGCCATCTGTGAGGCATTGTGAGACTCTTTATGCCCCTTCAAGGAAATGCCATTTTAATAAACCACATCGCCTGCATAGATTTAGCTTTTTATTCTCATGACACCATAAAAGAAGTGAAGAACTGCAGTTGCCATTTCACTGATCATAAGGGGATGCTTGTTGCGGTTGGCCGGAAGAGGTCTCCAGAAGAACAAGTCGAACCATTGCCAGATAACTAACGCAAGACGGACGACAGAATGTGATCATTTACAAATACAAGTGTCACGCCTACGCGCAGTTCATAATACAGGACATGTGACTATATCACTGTATAATATTTTCATAAAGTTGTTATAAAGGTGCTGTTAAATAGATCGAAAACCTGCACTATTATTATAGATACGTCGCGCTTGCATGCATTTGTTTATGTAACCAAACATAATAAATATGAACTTAGTGGTTAAGGGGCACACTGGGGCTGGATTTCTCTATCGTGTTCAACACATTAGGGCGAAGCTTAAGGGTCTCCTAATTTTTGTCGTCGTCCCCTCCTTCTGCCAAAATAACTTCAGAGTTGGCGCCGCTTTGTTTCAAGCACATCGCAAAATGCTTTTGGTAGCCTCCCAAACACGAGGACTATTAAATTGTGTGTGAATGCAGCATTTTATAGCTACAGAGTTGTAAAAAAAAAAAGAAAGAAACACAGGGTCTAGGCCATGGACTTGCGCACTGTTAGTAGGTGAATAACTACGGCACTGTAGTTTATCGATCATGCGAGGAGCCTTAGTTGTGTTTATCTGGCCGTGGTACCATTACACAGAAATATTACTATCACATAAACTGTGACACATCGGTACATAAACTGTACTTAAAACAGGGTTACCCTGCATAGACGAGTCTTTAGATTTAAAAGCACTTTAAAGAGCCCAGACATTGAAAACTAACTCGGAAGGCATACCTTATATACAATGTCGTATATTTCACTGAAAATTTCATCTTTTTTACATTGGCTTCAGCATTTGTGCGGCATTGTTAGTGACCGACGGAAGGCAGTGGTCACTTTTTGTCTGTAAAAAAAAAACATGTTTGTCCATTAACCAGGCTTTTTCTTTTATAGCAAACGTAATACATCTATGAAAGCTTTCTTCTGAACTATTATATAAGATTGTTACACTTGTACTGGTGCAAAAAAATTTGTGTACACATGGTAAACACAGTGTAGCGCAAACCACCGTCAGCCACTAAGCTTTCCTGACTAGACTTAAGGACTGTACCACATTGCATGGTGAACAGAATGAGAGAAAAAAAATCACATGTGTATTAGGTGCGAACAATGGTACTGCACTAATCGCCAAGTTATGCAAGCTTTCTACGATCTTTCTCTCTGTTGTAGTATGCAGATGACAAAGATAACATAAGTAGTTCAGTCATGCTACAGCAGTGCGTAGCAGGCAGAATACAAGCTAAACACCTACAAACAGCACGGAAGGCTTGGTTTAGTGCAGAGGCGTGAAGAGAGTCACCCAAGGCGAGCACCCTACGAAAGGCAGAATGCACTTTACTCGGGGGAAATGTTAACAATACATAGGCGTTGTGCACCGATTCAGTAAAGAAGAGTGTAGATATTAACAATAAACTGTAGTCAATGCATTTTATACGCCGACAATCGGCTCAGATCGCATGCAAAT